AGAGAGAGAGAGAGAGAGAGAGAGAGAGAGAGAGAGAGAGAGAGAGAGAGAGAGAGAGAGAGAGAGAGAGAGAAAGAGGAAGGACGCGACAAAGAGAACCTGGGCGCTGTTTGCGTCAGGTACTATCGGAAGAAAGCACGCGGAGGTGGCGATGGGGAGGTTGGTACCAGTTGACCCCGCGTAGCATGTGAATCTTTGTTTGATATCGTGGTGTGATTGCAGGTATGTATGGAAGAGTCTCGATTGATCCACGTTGAGTGGTATTGCGTGGATTCAGATGGGCAAACCACACAACTGTCGTGAGAGTGAACTACCCCACAACCTTTGTGTTTGAGTGAGATTGTGCTACCCCCGTTCTGCTGAGGTGGTAATTGAAGTAAACATTCGGGTAAACCCCCACAGAGCTAATCCCGACGGTGTCCTTTATGATAGTACTAAAAGTATTTGTGCCCCTTGCTTGTTAGGGTTTATTTTGGTGGAACGGTAAGGCCCTCAGGCCGGTTTTGCGCCCACTAAAGGGTTACTTCCCCTTAGCGTGCGCTTCAGCCAACGCCTGAGCATCGGAAGTAACCCCATGGTTCCGAAGAGGCCTTTTGGGTATGGGCACCACATAATGCGCCGTCATCGCGAATACTCACGAAGAGCTGCATAGTGAATTGGTATGCGTGGGTACTGCGTCCGCGCGATCTTATACTAAGTCCATGCGCACAGCACTCGTTGATCCCCGCGCTAGAGGTTATGGGTCGGATACTGAAGGGACTAGGAGTGTTGTTGTGTTGTGGTGTTGTTTGTGGAGGTTGCTGTGTGTGTATGTCCGTATGTTATGCGTGGGTAAGCATGGGTGTTGTAGTGTAATGCGTGGGTATGTAGTGTGTCCTAGTCGACTGGCGCCGAATCGTGTCTGGGACTTCAGCCCCCCAGTACAACGACTCGCGTACAGGTTCGATTTCGGGCGTTCGACCGCGCGTACTCCCTATGCTACAGCGAACGAGAAACGCCCTTGGCTGTGCCACCTCTGCAATTGCATATGAAAAGGTTTCGCATGTGGTTCAGTAGCTCGGCAGGGATACGCCCGCCTAAGGGATGGTGACATCTCCCGCAGGTGGAGGTAGCGGTGCCTCGCGTGACTCTGTCCTGTCGTAGGGACTCGCGAGAGGTACGGCTGGCGCACTCGGCCGGAGCGGCAAACGCTCTCCGCGATAAGTCCTGCATAATCCTGCGTGACGCGGCTGGGAGGGTCCCCGTGGGGGACCGATGCGCTCGACAACGGGGCACCAGTCTATTGGTGGGTAGCATCACCTGCTGAAAAATGGGTCCAGCGTCCCATGAAATATAACCATTGAGTTTGATAATAAGCACGCGTTGAACATCACATATGAAAATCTCACAATGCTACAGGACTGCCTCTTCAGCCAGTTTCCTGGCCGCCTGATGAAAAAACTATATGCAACAATTTCCCATTATAACATCCATAATACAGGGCTTTGGCAGACCCTCAATCAAAACCCACCAATTATTCCTATTGTCTCTCATCCGCACTCCCCTTAAACATTGAAGACCCACTAATGCAAGTTGAGATGGCGCCTCAGGAAAGAGATCCGAAAGAAACTCAGATGCTCTAAAGGTATCTCCTGGTTGGATGTCAAACCAGTCTTGAAAGATGATCAGGTAATCGTGCTTGAAGGACACCTGATCCCCTTCCTCCCCTGGCCAGACCACCTCCCCCAGTTTCTCGGCAAAACGTGCGAACCGATCAATGATGGATCATCCATTCAAATTTGGTGATGATGTGCTTATCGACACCCGCCACTTACAGCTCGAAGCGGACACGCTTCGCAAGTTTCGGCGTCTCTTCTTTGGACCATGCCGCATTCTCGAGGTTGTCGGTTCTGATACGGCTTCTAGCCCGGTCAACTTCTGTGTGAAGCTGGCCAACTACCTGCGTCAGGCTCGTGTGCACGATGTCTACCACGTCTCGTTACCTCATTTCTACCGCAGACCGTCTAGTGTTTCGCTGGACGACCGTACGAGCGCCCTCCTCCCATCATGGTGGACGGCCACGAGGAGTTCCTCGTTTCAGACATCATTGGTCGTCGAGTCACTGACGACAACCTCCCCCATGCCGAGTATCGTGTACGTTGGAAGAGTTACCCTGATGAGGAGGCTACTTGGGAGCCCTTCGAGCACTTGCAGCACGCTCGCATGTTAGTGTGTGCCTATGACCGTGCTCGTCATGTCGGATTGACTGCTCCTCCTCAGCCCACTGACCCTCCTTCTCCCTCGGCTGAGGAGACCGCTTAAGTCGAGCCTGCTCCTTCTGAGGCAGACCTTCAGCAACAACCGAATGCTTCTGAGCATCCACAGCGCACTCGTTGTCGTCCTGCTCGATACGACGATTGACTCTGACTTATCGTCCCACGTCTTTGACTTCTTTGTACTCCATCCACTCCAATTTTGCCACTTCAGCTCGTCGACGTTGCGACTCTTCCTCGACGGCATTCCAAACTTTTCATCATGGACGTCATCGACAACTTCATGGATTTCGTCACGATCAGCTCTGCCTACTTCAGGCGTCGTCGCTCTCTTACTACCTTACCCTGTACAATATCCTGGTTCTGTCGCATGATGGTCTCCCTTCGCCGGGTTCCTCTGAGTTGGGCTCTCTCTTGGTATACGCATAGGCATCAGGACCGTAGCGTTGCCTTGGCGTCCCAACGTACGGATCCAACTTCGACTTCCCCCACCTTAGGAGTCATTTGCATGATTCCCGTACTGATCATTTTTTCTACCCTCTGCTGGCCCTCACGCCCCAGTTAGGCAGCCTCGCATGCTTCATCTAGGTGCGCCGAGTATACCAGGCTCCCTTGTTCCCTTGCATGGTCGACCCTCCATAGCGGCCACCCCTTTAATCGAGCAT